ACGTAATGAAGAACAAAAGGGCGGATCATAATTAACATGTTCCGTGGTTGCTGTAAAGCAATGACACAAAGATCACGACTATTTTGTTTAAACCAGTGATAAAATAATAAAATGTAACTTTTGATATCAAGCACAGATTTGCTTTTATTGACCTTTAATATTCATCCAGTCAGGTCAATTTTATTTATACAGCCTAATTGCGACGACTCAAAGAAACTGCAGCAAGTGTAAGTTCCAGTTTTATTCTGTTGACCACACGCTTATTTCTCAAGAATCACTTTACTTCCTGTCTCTGTTTAGCTTCCCGCCCCTTTTGCCCCCACACCTGAATTCAGTTAACCATCACCCGCCTCTACTCAAGCCCCAATCAGTCACTCCATCCATGTCAGGTTATGCACTGTCCGACCCTGATTTTCCAGCAGAGTTCAGTGTTTTTTTTGTGTTCCTGTTTTTGTTGCGTTCCTGTTTTTGTTTTCTCCTTCTCCAGCGTGTCGATTTTGCTTGTGCTGCTTTTGAGTTGCTTTGTAAAGTCGAGTTCTTTTATTTGTTGCCAGTAAAGATTGGAGTGAAGTATTTTTCTGTTGTTTTGTGCCTGAGTCTCGGCCCTGATCCCTCACACTAATACCACAACTCACAAATTTACCTCAATGGGCTCAACAATCTGAACAGCATACGGTGTCCTTAGAACCTCAATTTTAAAAAAGAAAAATCTTTTACCGCAGTCAAATATAACGATGTACATTTAAATGTTAAAGGAACATTGTGTAGTATTTAGGGATATAGCAGATGTTTAATATAATGTTAAAAACTTTGTTTGAATCAGAATATAATCATATTAAACTAATCTTAAACTTAAACTAATTTGTAATGTTTTCCTTTCATATATTTGTAGGGAGGCTCATCTCCCATTGAATGGATCGTCTTGTACTGCCATGTATCTACAGAAGCCCTTTCCCGTTTAGTAATTTAGTAAGTAATCTGAGGGTAAGGATATGTTCCGATACCTGGTCTTAAACAGGCCCTCGTGCTAAATTACTAAAGATCTTAGTATGGTTGAGTCCATATTTTATCCTTGTTCATGGTCTTTTTTTATTTAGTACTGTTTGAGGTATTTTTATTATTCATCTTTACTTCTCTCATGGCTCAGAAAGCCGCCATAAACAGAGAATACATATATTCAAAATCTTCTTCAAATTTTAACTTTGATTTTATTTATTTTATTGACAACTATATTTGTTTCCAGTGAAATATTATGACTTAATATAGGAGGACTTTGCTCTTATCAACATTACATTTCTGAAATAATATTCAGTTATATTACAAAGTACAAATACATTCAAATCTCGATCTACATTAATTTGTTTTCGATATTTTATGTATGTTCTTTTTTAATTTAAAACATTGTTTACTATCTGCCCCAATTAAAATATTCTTGATTTCTATAATTTAGCTTCTCCTCTTTTACATACATGTAGCTAAACAAACTTTGTCTCCCGAGAAGGGAACTAGAAGTAGAAAAATTGCTGGATTATATGTCATTTCCATCTAGAATTTTTCACGTGCACATGTGGTGCTGTGTTGTAGACTGAGCATGCAGCTTTACTGTGCAGCAGCCTTTAAGGAGGGCAGACAGCCTGTCTCCACTCATCACATTACAGAGCCTCTTCGAGGGTGCATACATGTAAGCGGGTTTGCATGTGTCTGCATGTGTATTTTCCATGTGCATTAACCGCAGGCATGCACACATGCCTGCGGTTAATGCACATCTGAGTTTGTGTGGGAGTGGTTTAGCACATGCATCCTACACAATTCGTCCTTCCCTATTTCCCCTTCTTGGCAGTGAGAATATATTTCAGGGTAAGTTAAAATCTCATCACCCTCTAATGAGTGGCAACGGATGGAGATTGCAGCCTATAGAGTGAGAATCAATGACTTGACAGTTTGGGTGGAGTGATCAGCACTGTGTTCCACTTTACTTCAAAATCCAAGCCAAGCTGTTTCTCCAAACAAGCCACTGAGACGATTAACCAAGACCTACCAATAAGATACCTTCATTTCTGGGGATCTGTAGTCCTCTAAGAGTGCTAGAGCTATGTGGTTTGAGTTTAAAACCTGTCATTTCCACACAGGTCTGCTATGATATGTTTAATAAAACATGTGAATATAAGAAAAGGACAGATGGATGGATGGATTAAAACCTGGAGAGGCACCAATGGCAAAAGGGAGGCATCTTTTTCTGTTCTGGCCTGGCTTAGTCTTCCACTTCTCAGCCCACTTGACTTTCCTCCTGAGGTTGCTGTAACTGTCTTCTCAGCACATGCCTCTTAGGATGGTGGCAAGTACTGAAATATGCACCTGCTGGCAGGGCGATAAGGCAAAAATTAAATGTCGCAACGTGTTTTTTTTCCTAAGCTTGGTGGCAATTCACAATTTCTTTGTCATGTCATGTTTAAAACATGACGTGTTTTTACAACCTCGTTTGAAAGGCAGTTTAACAAGAAGAAAGACTTGAGCCGCCTTCCAGATTAGTTGCAGCACAGTTATAGACTGAAAGTCATCACACTAATTTAATTGCCCTTTCCGTTCGCCTGATATCTGCAGACAACTGTCTGGCTAATGTTACATAAAGCTGACACGCGAACCCACGGCTTCACCCTTTGGTACCGAGACTTAATGCCTCGTAAACAAGCACAAACTGAGCTCGGATCTCTGAGGGAATGTTGTGAATCAGCGGTTTCCAACAATAACTTGTCGACTAAGTAAGTAAACGGATCTGAAAAATGTATTTTTCAACATAAGGACAGTTTACATCCTGTTTTTGGTGTAACATAAGACAGAAAATAGATGTTATATACGGTACATATAGGGGGATGTAATTACAGCTCTTCTTCCGCTTTACATGCCTGCATGTGCGTGTGGGAGAAGGAGAAAGAGTCCGTTTGCCCCGTAGGTGTGAGAGTGTCAACCTTGGAGTGACCTCCGGGTTTGTATTCAGTAATTATCTGATTACACGCCTGTTTCTCCCCACTCAGACAACCTGCAACTGGATAACACTGTAAGTCCCTGATTACAACTTACTCTACAATCAATCACCCATTAACGGCAGCACGCAGGCGGTACAAATGCCCACTCACAGACAAACACACACACACACACACACACACAAACCTGTCCAGCCGTGTAAGACTAAAATACCCACACTACCATTACTGCCACGCTATCAGAGGGTGGAATGATGAAACACCTACGACAGAATCTTCAAAGACGAAACTGATGAACCCTTTCTTATCTTGTGACTTTTGCGTTCATGTCTTTCATGGTGGTTTCTGTGTTTTTGCTGCTTTTTGCCGATCTCAGCAGTTCACTGAAAGCCCGGTGATGCACCACAATAACACAGCGTCTCCGTCCTCTAGCTCTTTTCACCATCCTTCCACTTATGAAAATGCTTTCCCTTGAAATGTCAAAAGATGAGGAGACTGAGGAGGATGATACCCAGCAGGGTCAATCTCAAAAAATACAGAAACAACAAACAAAGCCGTGGTTGTAGTCACTTGCGTTACAGCAAAGGGCACACAGGTACTGCATACACAGACATGCACACAACAAGACAACATTGAAATTTCCACAAAGGCGGCCAAAGGACTGTCTAAGACGCTGCACCCTTTTAAAAGAGACTCATAAATAAATCACAACCATTTTTTCCCTTTCTTTCATCTGCTAATGGAACATCCGTACAAGGCAGATGTTGAGACACACAATACACGGTGCAGTGCATGTCTTTAGCCTCAGTGACGTTAGACACGCGGTAACAGTGCGGCAAAGACAACCAGTTCAGATAGCGGGCATCTGATGCACGCCATCACGACAGGAAAGCCAAAGGCAGGCCTTAATATTTCAAGCCATCCCCACCTTCCATATGAAGTCAAGCCAGAGACAATATTCACTATCATCACTTCTTGCCGGTATTATTAGGTCTCTTTGTTATAGTTCATTGCTGAGATAGTCACATCCATGGGTCTGCCTTCCGTTGAAACTTGTCTTGGTGTCCCTGGTGCGACAGATCTGCGTCTTTGTTGACGTCACCAACATTCCGACTTTGGGAGGACTGCTTGGCTCCAGGTGCCAATGTGGGCCTACAGCATATACAATATGCTGGCTTTAGTTTTCATTGATTGATTGATCTTATCCAACCATTCTTGACATAACATGTAGTAACCACTATTTCCACTATAACCAATTTAATTAATAATCCTCTACATTTGCAACCACAATTAATGTTGAAATATCAAAATGGAGTTTCACCTGTTTCTCATATTTTCCACTGATTCTAAATCTTCAAAGCTACACAAAGTCTATATTATATCATCATATTTCCACCCGCACATGAAAAGCCGTTATAAGCTCTCACTTATTGGTAGCAGCTATGTCATGCTCTCAATTGAAGGTGATCATTGGCAGAGAGGCCAAGATACCTTCAACATGAGAAATTCACTGGAAAGCATTGAGAGGCCTCTGTGCTGAATCATTCTATAGCGACTCAGCGACTTGGCTCGCATGTGAGGGGCATCGCGCAGCCAGGGATTTCTAACCCGAGCCTCATTGCTGACCACGTGTGCTGTAACCTACAGGCGTTTTGGACAGACACCTCGCTCTGATGGGGCCTTGAACTGAGAATACCTTTTTTGTCCAAATACCCGTGTTCCCCTTCCCTTCATTATATAAGGTTTTTGAAGTCTTCCTGGCAACAATCCTCTTTGGCCTCGTATTTCACTGTTAATCAAACCTCTGCATCCCCTCGGGTGGCACACGGCCTATTCAATTCAACTTCTCCGTGAAAGAATAACTCTGCTGTAGAGGCTGCCTGCAGGGGCAAACCCCTGATACATCCAAATGTATGCTGCACACTGACGCTGACCAAGGGACAGGACTATGTTCTGTACAGCAACACACACACACACACACACACACACACACACATGATTGGGCATACATGTACCTACCCGTGTGGCTCCTGTGTGCCTGTGTGAGGGAGGCCAGACAGAGGGACAGCAGCAGGCTCCACACGCCCACTCCGCAAATGCAAGGACCTCGTTCCCGCATTCTGCCATAGAGAACACATACACATGCTCCGTTAGACAACACATAAACAAATACAACACTGCGCATTGCGTATGTAACACTTCAACTTCAAGGATTGGGACAACATTTTGAGCAGACGTTCATGATTTCAAAAGATGTCTTATAATAATGTTGGCCGCCCTTAACTTTTTCGATAGGGCCCATTTCAGCTTGACATTTGTGGTCAATTTTAGGCATCCGCTAAATTTAGAGCGACATCATCCGGTCCAAATTTTCAATTTCAAAATGTCCACGGTTTGTTTAATTTAAAATGTCTAACATATAAACTGTATGTTAGCCACATTGTCACATGTGGGTATCTTGGCCTTTAGCTAATGTAGCTTTTTAAATAACAAGTGCTTAAAAATCATTTGGAGAATGTTCTAAGATAACTGTAAAACGCTCACAAACAATGTACAGTAACAAATATTGACACATTGGAACTGAATGGTTCCTCCAAATATTCAAGATTCAGACAGAAAGAGTGAAGGAGACGAGTAGAGAGAAATAAAGGAAGGAAGGACAGAAGTTGAAAAAAATATTTTCATGTGCAGATTTGCAAACAAGAGAACAACATCGATGACAGTCCTGTTCATGCCGTCCATATTGTTTCTGTCAACAACATCCAGTGATTAACTAATGAGATGGTTGCAAATAGATGCCATGTGTTAAAAGTACTGTATCCCACAGCAAAGCAGTGCAAAGCTTCTTTCTCCTTTGACAAATCACGGTACGATGCACACGGAAACTCACAGACCCTAAAAAACAATAATGAACATTCTCTTTTACAAAAAGAAACTGTTTTACTATGAGAGAGAGCTCGTAGACTGAATAGGAGAACTCTTAGGAGACATTTTTGTATAATAAAAATCTATCTTATCTAACACAACATACTGATACTTAGATGTTCTGACTGAAGTGACAGAAAACCATCACTGCTGCAAAACTTGAAATCCAACATTTACTCATATTCAAATATTTATTTTATATTAGTCAATTTTCCAAAGTGTGTGCATATTTGACACAAGTGAAAACATACAAGCGCAGATTTTTGTTCTACAAATTCCCACATTGTATTGTAACACTTTTAATGTTGAGTTTACGAGCTCTTGCATTTTAAAATATCTCATATCATCTTCACGCTTGCGAAACAAAAGCAAACACGATACAACGTTGGAGAAACTTTGAAACCCATCTAGGGGAAGATCGAGACAATGCAGGTTTAGCACCACTACTACTTTTGATATCTTTCGATGTTGATCTTTATTTGTATAGATAGGGAGCTTTTGACCAGACTAGAGTAAATCTCTTCTGTTTTCTTTGCATCATGGGCACATGACATTTTCTGGAAAAGAATCCAGTATCTCTGGCTGTGCAGGAACCCGTCCAATCCTTTCATTTGGCCCAAGATGAAGTGGTTGGCAACTTGAGTTAAGCAGAGAGTTGGATGCACTGGACTGGGTTTTTCAGTAGGATCATTTTTGAAAATCGTTTCTCACCATTTTCAAACCTTGCTTCAAGTCACTCTCCAAATACTTAATGGTGGTTATTTACCTTTCTAGGAAACAAATGTGTGGCCAAAAACAGAAAAAAAGAATGTAAAATACTGAGCAGATATGTAAAAACAAACCAAACTTTCCAGGTTTGTGTGACAGTCTGTGCAGATTACCTCAGCGACGGTCTGTTGATGTGCTTGTTTGTGCGCGTGTATTTGGGCATCTATCAGCCTGCATGTGTGTGTGAGCACTTTCGCCATGAGGAAGTGTGTGTGTGTGTGTGTGTGTGTGTGTGTGTGTGTGTGTGTGTGTGTGTGTGTGTGTGTGTGTGTGTGTGTGTGTGTGTGTGTGTGTGTGTGTGTGTGTGTCAGGTAAAACCTGACTCCTATTTCGAGCTGCGTGTGTGAGTCTTCTGACTGTGCGCCCATGCATTTTTAGAGCTCGGAGAAGCTGCAAAGCCAGACAGGCTGAGCCAAGGCTTTCTCTGTTTAGAGGGCATCGTACACACACACACACACACACACACACACACACACACACACCCGGATATGCTTTATTTTCCCTTTTTGTCTTTTTTTTTATTTATTCGCCTTCCTATATCATATTCACTCTTGTACACACCTCAGTTCTGTAGTTAATAATTTACACAACAGAGACCCGGCGTACTTCCTCTTCAGCTAATTTAGACACACAGCGGTGTTTGCGATGCAGTGCCACTTCATCTTGGCTGGTTGTTTGGTCTGTCTGCCTCAGACATGAGTGGGTGTGTGTGCTATAAAAATGGATTCAGAAAAGTTGCAGAGAGACGGTGGAGGAGAATGCCTGCGTCACACTGTGTGTCCCCAGGTAACCCTCTAACATTAGAATAGGAAGGGACTGGGGCACAGTGTCAATGCACTCTGTATACATTCATATTCCATTTTTAAAATAAGGGAACAAAACCACTTAGTTAGGGTTAGGAAAAGAAAACGGTGACAAAATGAGTTAACTTTGACTTTTAAATTCACACAGAACACGAACATCCTGGGTGAAAGTCTGTTTTTTTTAAATTATATACTAGTCCTATTCATGAGTCTGTGTTTGCCATGCATATATGTTAGGAAAATGTCCAGGTAGAGTAAACGTCAGGTAGATCATATCTGCCTGTGTAAATGTTGGCCGGAAAACCATATTTGGATCCTATAATCGTGGGTGCTGTAGCTTTCGGCAGTGGAACACAGTGGAGCAAGAGAGAAAGCAAAGCGAGGGGAGAAGGAGATGGTTGGAAAAGGTAGTGATGGTCCCAAATGAGTTGTGCGGTCTGTTCCATCCCTTTAATTAGTCCCATTGGAATGCCTTTCCAGCTCCATGTGGCTGATCAGCTCTTCCCCCCCCATATCTCCAGTGTGTATTGCGTGTGCATTTGCACGTGGGCATGCGTGTGCTCGTATGCCTCCTAGCTAAAGCCGGACAGACATCTCACAGGCATCTAAGCTCCGGTTTTATCTCCCAACGGCCAATGAGAAAAATGTACTGCGACGGCATTAATATTCAAGGAGATTCTATTCCCTATGATAAGTGCCATTTGGAAAGTGGGGTGCCTGTTCACTCCTAATCAGTTACTGTGGCAAGTGACATCAAGTGATTCTGCTTTTAAGATAAGATTAAGACATACGGTGTCAACACATCCTTGTCAAGAAAACTTGAATCTGTGGTTATTGATGTTGAAATAATTAAGTAAATTCATTAAAGGCAGCAGGTTGTGACGCTAAAGCATAAACCACCTCAAAAGTGCCGTTAATTTGGTCTGCGAGAAAACTGTCACTCAAAATCTACATCCAAGCAGAACCAGAGCAGCGAACTCAAAGTGCTTTACGTTTACGGTCTGATTGGAAACAGACTAAATAAATAGTTAATTTTAGTATTACTTCAAAAGTTACTACTGTTTAAATCTGCATAAACAATATACAGTATATTTATACGGCTGGTAAACATGGTAAGACAGGCAGGATTCTTACTAACAGCAGTGTGTTGAGTGTTATCTTCATGTTTATATCTTATATTGTCCAGAGGCAGCAGAGATGATTGGAAGGACACAGACGAGAGAAAAGGACATTTAGGGAAACGTGCATACGGAGGAGGTGAGGAGCCGAAGAAGCCTGTGAAGGGATGGATGGATCCGAGGTGAAGGTAACACAGAGGGAACTCACGACATTTGGGAACAGTCTCTGTACCAAAGCAGATACTTGGTTTTAACTTATTTGATAAGATTTTCAAAACATTAAGTCTCCTTAGCAATTTGCACTCCTTTACCTGCTTGAATATGAAGCATACTTAACTCACAGGTTAAATGAATTGCTTTGTAATACATTTACATTAAATGTAAAATTGCAATGAAATGCTAATTTTAAGGGAAAAGTCTTTTCCTCGTCAATATTATACGATGTCGATGTACTTGAGCGAGTGACTCGTCAACTCGCTGGTAAGTTTGAACCAGGCTAAAATACTGTGGACAAACTGACTATTTCTAAGAGTTTAAATGTTCCCATCCATACTGCTATAACTGGACAAGGCAAACACACACATTGGAATGACATAACTAGCTGGGTCACACAAACAAAACATTATTGCTTTATTAAGGGAAATGCCATGAACGGTTGCAGGTGGGCTTGGTTCATGCTAGTGGTTAATGTGGGAAAGTTAGCACAAAGCAGTGGATGAATGTAAGGATTAGTCAGAGGAAACCTGTGTATTCTTGTGACTTAACTAATGGGTTTGTTTTCAAGCAAGACCCGAACTGTGGCTCTGCAATCCTAATTACAACCTCTGGAGGTTTAAGCTTGATTAGGCTTTCTTCATCCTGCCAGGAACTTATGTGTGTGTATGTGTGTGTGTGTGTGTGTGTGTGTGTGTGTGTGTGTGTGTGTGTGTGTGTGTGTGTGTGTGTGTGTGTGTGTGTGTGTGTGTGTGTGCGCATACACCAGTGTGTGTTTTATTAATGAAATCCAGTTTGGCCTTTGTGGATAAATTCACTCCATGTGACCTGTGGAGAAAACCAGAGTCTCCAAATTAAGCCTCCAATTTAACAAGCATTCTGGAAACTCAATACTGTGTGTGTGTGTGTGTGTGTGTGTGTGTGTGGTGGTGGGTTTGTGTGTTGAAGGGGGGGTAGGACATGAGGAGCGGGAGGCTTTTGGTCCTCAGAGGTTGATAGTTAATCACTAGTTAACTGGATTCTATGAATCACAGACCTGAGACATGGATCGTTCAAATGACGCTTTCCCCCTCTCACTCCATGTTTGTCCCCAACACATCCCTAAAGCTTTATTCAGCCCAAGATGGTCTCGCTCTAACTAGCTCCCCCCCTCCCTCCCTCCCTCCCTCCCTGCATGTGTCTGCTGCTGGCTGTGCAAACCCAAAGAACTCACTGCACCGCAAGGTAAAAATCCCGATGTCAATACAAATCCATCATCCACTCACGATACAGCCACCCCCGAAAGATCCTCCG